TCGAGCTTCTGCTTGTGTACAGTGGCAGGCCGGCGCCAGGCCGAACGGCAGGTGTGGCCAAAAGAGCGTCTGCCCCCGCCACCGCATAGCCAGATAAGTGTGCTCCCGTTCGTGGAGTGATAGCTGCCAGTACCCGCTCTTGTCATCCGTGGTGTACAGCCAATCTTCCGGTAAGAGGTAGCTAGGGACTTCTGCCAGTCGTTCATACTTCACAGGCCGGTACCTCAAGAAACAGTTAATGTACATCGGGTTAATACAGAGTCGCAGCTTGCCGTCTTTTTCCACCACCCGCAAGCCATTAACTACCGTGGGGGGAGGCGCGTCGGCTGGCCATTCCCGTATCACTCCTCGGTCCAGGGCCTTTCTCAATTCGGCTGTAACAAACTCATGGTGCTGAGTCGCGCTGCGATGGTTAGGAAACTGCACGGCCCGCGGCCGGTCACCCGCCATCATAAAGTCTAGGTCGCAATCCGGCGCCGCGACCCGCAGCATTTCACGCACTATAGCTAGCTTGCGTCCCCGCTCCGGGGCTAGTTCTTGCCCTGGGTAGTCGCACGCCACCCACTCCAGCTGGATCCCGCCCCGCAGGTATTCTAGCCACTGTTTCTGTTTGTCCGTTAGGGGCCGGCCTTCGTTAGCTGCCTGAAAGAACGCTCGCCACACTGCAACATGTAGCCGTATCCTTCCGGGTTGGAAGTCTTCGGGGTCAGGGAGCAAACGGACGACCTCTTCGAGAAACTCCTGTTCATCCCGCGGATCTACCGCATCCTGCTGACCCAGTCGCTGTAACCTCTGCCAGGCTTCCTGTAGCAGCTGGAGTGCTTCCCTACCCGCGGCGTTGTGGGCACTCCCTTCCCGGGCCGGTGCTAGTCCGCCGCCTCTGGGTTTCCGCCCTGTCGGCTGGTCACTCACCCACTGGTCGTCTTCGCAAGGGTCATCTTCCAACGACACCAACTCGGTCGGATCCCTTCCGTCACCATCCTGAGTGTCTGCCGGGTAACCCACGTCTGGTGTCCTGTCATCATCCCTTGACGTTCCCTGCGTGCTCTCAGTCGACCTGGTTAGCATAGGCCTCTGGGCTTGGGTCTCCTATAAGCCGAATAATAACCGGTGGGGGCGGGAAACAAGATACGATGGTCTTTGAGCTTACACTTAGGTGTCCAAAAGGCAGAGCTGCCCCCTACCGTAACCAGATCCGCACCGCTGTCCCCAGTCCTGGAAGGCAGTCACAAGCCGCCCGTCCAACACCTGGACGGCGACGAGCTTTATTCCAGCCGCCACCGACAGAACCGACCCACCAGCAGCTATCTTCCCGCCGATTGTCTTGTTTCCCGCGCCCCTGACTACAACTTATACCTTGCGCATCGCTTCATTGCGGCTAACCAGGGCGTCCACCAGCTGAGTCACTTGCTCTGCCTCCGTTGCCGGGTGTTTAAACCGGCAGGGCTGCCCCGTCTGTGCCCGGGCACAGCGCCCGTTCCACGCGTGGGTAATGCAGAGTTTGCTTCCATCCACGTTGCCGCGGTACGCAATCTCCGAGATTGACCCAGAGCCCACACCCTGGAATCCCCGCCGGTCTAGCTCCTGATTGACCGCTGCCACCACGCTAGCAGGTGGGCCCAGGCGCTGCACTCCGCGGCCCCCGGCGTGAGGCGCTCCCAGCCCCGCGTCCCGAGGGGGGGCCTGAAA